TAGAGCAAAGAAGAAAACAGACAACAATGACATGGGAGACATGCCAATTAAAGGAAGAAGTAGCCGGAAAGAGTGGTTAGTGTGAAAGAAATGAAATGTGCAGATACTTGCCTTTTTGATTATTTTTAATGACACATGAGATGGTCTCATGAGCACATGCAAACCAGGCAGGAATGAAATGACAGCTGCAGAGGACACTCAGATCTGGCTGGCAAGGTACCCAGTGATTAAAGCACATTCAAGACAGACGGAAGTCTCTTGCCATGGTGGAGCACACCTGTAATCCCAGCACTCTGGGGGACTGAGGCAGGAGGATCACACACTTGAGCCTAGTCTGGGCATCCTGGCCACTTAGCAAGAACCTGTCTCAACATAAAAAAGAAAACAAGCTGCGGATGTAGCTCAGGGAGAAGGATCTGTGTTTAATCCCCAGTATCACACACACACACACACACACACACACACAACGTGCACATTTTTGGTACAGGAGAAACATCGCTAGGTCCTTGTCATCACACACACACACACACACACACACACACACACACACACAACGTGCACATTTTTGGTACAGGAGAAACATCGCTAGGTCCTTGTCATCACACACACACACACACACACACACACACACACACACACACAGAACGTGCACATTTTTGGTACAGGAGAAACATCGCTAGGTCCTTGTCAACCTGGGGAAGGCAGGTATGCGGACTTGTCCAAGGCTTAAGCTATGCAGGGAAGTCCCCACACGGTGGATGGTAAGGCACCTTGGGACGACCAAGCTAACCAAAAGAAACATATGAGAAGCCGGGAACTGGGAGGTGAATTTCAGATGATTTATATTGGAAAAGAAGAGGAGAGTTAGCTTTAGGATTAGGGAGAAAGGAGAAAAAGCTCTGGGCTTTCCCAACCTCTAATTTATTTCTGGTGTAGTAGTTTTAGCAAAACCTAGAGCTTTATCTGAATTTGAGAGGTTTTACCTCAAATCTTATTCCTCAAAGATGTAGATATTCATCATCTTCAGAGACCTTGAATAGCAGCTAGCACCTTGTGTTCACCCTTAATGAATAATCACTGACTGAGTGAATCAGCCATGTTCCCAAATGAGGAATATATCTTACATTAATTAAAATAGGAGTCAATAATGGGGAAGATTTAGCCTATATTTTCTTTATGACCGCCATTTGACAAATGGAGAATGAGGGCTCTAGCAATTCAAATCTCCCTCTGAGGAAAGTTTAGTAACTATCAAGATAAATCTCAGAAGCTCTCTCTTGGGATCCCCAAGGTTCACTAAGTATTTCAAGAGGACACCGAACATTTTTGCAGTGGCTGTGAGACAATCCGGCCCAGGTGTGGGCGGAAGCACTGTTCTAACTACTGCAGTTAGCAAACCCTGGGGTGCACTTCAGCAATGGTGTCAATAGATGAGATGGGCAGTGGAAGCCTGGCTCTTTGTGACTTGGCTCAGATTCTACATTTCTATTCCAGAAGAGGTGGGAAACCTTTTTGCTTTCTCTAGTGTTAGAGAAGAGCTAAAAGTCAGGTGGAAGGGGAGACTGGGGTAGGATCCTGTGCATGCCAAAGTTGTGTAGTGAAAAGACAGGAAGGGCAGACAGAGATCTCACCAACCACTGACGCACTGGTGTTTGAGAGCCCATGACTTTGGGGACATCTGGAAACTCAACCTGTAGAGCAAGCCACTCCTGTCTTGACAAAGATAAAGGCTTTTGGATTACAACCTGCTAGTTGATCCATCCAAGCCAGGGAACCTGGTAGGATACAACTTCTTAAATTCAAATCCTTTACATTTCTAGGATCTGCACTGATAAATATTTCCAATTGTCCCTTCAAAGGCACCAGCTCTTATCCACAAGCACATCTGCTTTGATTTCCCCAACACCATGTCACCAAATCACCTATTGTGGTTGCTTCAGAGCACATAGGTGTGGCTGTACCTGCAAAACACTTAGACACACCCCTACTTATTTTCACAGCTCATTGGAATTGTCTCCTCTTTCCCCAGAAACAAGCTCCTATTCATAGAGAGTACTAATACTCCAGCAGCCCTCAGGTCTAGAGCACCTGTGTGCATAGATGGAACTTGACGTGCGTCTGTCTCACAGTCTGAGGAACCTGTGGAAGCTCCACGCTGTTATCCCCGTTTTACGCGTAAGACCTCAGCAAGGTTAGCCAGGGGGTCTGGGCTGCATGTCAGGCTGTTTCTCGGTGCCTTGCTTTACAGTTCGTAAAGTGCTTTCATGTAACTGGGAAGTCCTCCGAATCACGGATTCACTGCTCTGGCTGCTTCTGTTTTACACGTGGTGACAATGACATTGAGAGAAGTTGTGTGACCCGTCCAGGTTACCTCTCTCAGGGGTGGCTTTGCTTGTTTTCAAACATGTGTCCTTCTAGTCTACGCCCCATGCTGTCCAAGTGTTTGTGAGCAAAAAGGGGAAGCTCTCAGATAGAAGCGCCCTCAGATTTCTTTTTGTTCAAGTTCTCTTTCTTCAAATTCATCTTACAAGACTCCTCTTTTTCTGTGTCTCCAGGAGAAGCTGATTCTATTCCACATTCCTCAAAATTCTCTCCTTTATCCCTAGGAAGTCTTATTTATCCCCAGGTCTTCTCATTTTAACACTACAGAGAACACTCTCAAATCTTTCTTTCTGAATTCCAGCTACTGTTATGAACCACTGACAGAATATCTTTTGTTTTCTTTTTTCTTTCAGTGCTGGGGATTGGATCCAGGGTCTCATAAGTGTAGGCAAAATTCTACCACTGAGCCACCTCCAGAGTGCTATTTATTTGTTTGTTTATACTGAGGATCGAACTCAGGACCTTCAGCTTGCCAGGCAGGAGCTATGCTGCTGAGCTACTTCTGCAGTCCTATTTATTTATTTATTTATTTTTATTTTGCGACAAGGTCTTGCTAAGTTGCTCAGGTTGGCCTGGAATTGTGATTTTCTTGCCTCAGCCGCCCACGTAGCTGAGATTCCAGGCCCTGTACTTGGCTGATGAGCATTTTTTCTTGATTGTATACGTTGCTGGATACTCTCTACCCGACTCTAAGCACTCAGTTTCCTACAACTCACTCCAGTCCACTGTTTCTCTGGAGCTCTCCATGCACTTCGATATCTCCATGCTTTTGCTTATATGGCTGAAAAGGCTGTTCTTTTTCTCTACTTATAGAAATTCTATTCATTTTATTTATCCACCTCAAGCATTATACTTACTCTTGTGGCTTAGACATGAGATGTCCCCACAACGTCTCATGTGTTCGGAAGGGGCCTGGATCATGGAGACTCATCCATTGATAATTCCATAGCTGAATGTGCTGTTAGGAGGCAGGTTATGGGGTGTGACCCAGAGAGGTGTGCTCTTGTCCCTGGTTCCTCTCTTCTCTGTCTGCCTCCTGGCTGCCATGGGTTAAGCAGCTGTCCCCCACCCATCCTTTCCACCATGCCATTTCTGTCCTGGGCCCACCGACCATGGACTGAATCTTCTGAAACTGTGAACCGAAACAAACCTCTTCTCCTTTAGGTTGTGGGTGCTGGGGATTATTTTGTCTCAGTGATGAGAAAGTGGCCTATACACATACTGTAAATACTTTCCCAGCTCTTCTGGTCAGAGAGTAGTGCATTCCCTGAGTTTCCAAGCACTTCGCTTACTTTAATAACATATCAGTTACCACATGAGAAAAGTTTGTCTCCCACTCTGACTCAACATACAAGTTGCCAGCAGAATGAACTCACGAAAAAATTATATTTACTGCTCCCTTGATAGAATAAGTGTGGCTCAGTATTTGTTTAAAGGAGTAAAAGAATAAGGAAATTAATAACGACTCAGTTACTACTTTAGTGTTTCAACATGCCCAAAGAGTACGTGCACTGATTTCCCCCCCACCTCAAATATTTGTTATTATGCCAGCATCTGTCTTGTTTGCTTTGTGAAGATACTGAGTTTTTTTTAAGGCTGCTATGTGAAATAATGAAGAAGGAAAGGGAATGATGCATCATTTTTCTTGCAAAGCAAATGCAGTGCTATCATTCAGGTGATAAATGCTGCAGAAAAACATCCAATATTTAAATTTATATTTGTTAATTTTAAACTAAGATAATAGGAATTGATCCTCTATTAATAAATGCTTCTGCTCATATATTACACAATAGTCAACTTCATTAGATTGAAATAATGAGTTTGGGAAGATAGGAAGGAAAAGTCAGCCTAGATAACGGAAGTCAGAATTTACTGAAAGCAATGCAGTTTTATTACTTTCAATACTATAATCTTCCAGTAGAGTCTGTCTAAGGAGACATCTACTTAACGATATGGACCCTTATTTTATAGCTGACTTTTTTGCCCTAAAGACCACATATTCTAGTTCCATGAAACCAATGTCTTCTTGTACACAAGTTGCAGGTGCTTGCTCTAGTATGAAAGTAAGTCCTTCCCTCATAGGATCGTTCCAAGGTAAATTTCAGGTTAGTCTAGATGGAGTTGTCAAAGCTTATGTATTAGCAGTGTCTGAATTAATAACATTTTACTGCATTTACTTGTAAAAGGCATTTTGGAAAGAAGAATGTAGCCCGCTGGGGCTTTAGCTCAGCGGCACTGTGCCTGCTTTGCAAACGCAAGGGCCTGAGTTCAATCCCTGGTACTGGAAAAGAAAAATGTAGCCCAGTGTCCAGGGAAATGGTAAATACTTTGAAAACAAAAACAGAAGAAACTTTTTCAAATAAGATAAACATTACTTATTCATCAAGCCACAAGTAATGGAGATCTATCTTCACAGCCTTTGGTTTCCTCTGTAAAATTCCGAGAGGGCACGGATGGTGGTCTGCTAGTTTCTCTCCCTGTCGGTAGAGACTTAACACACCCAGCAGGGGGACATGGGCTGTGTTTCCTGGTGATCACTTTCATCCCCAGAGCAGGCCCTTAGAAGTAACACTGAGGTTTTCTAAGTGGGACTCAAACATTATGAGAAGGATACTCACTGGTTCTGAGTGCAGGCTGCAAGTAATTTTCTGGCCCCCATTCTGGAAAACAAGAGGAAAGAAATGCACATATTAGCAACACATCCAAAGACATTTGCGCAGCTTCCTACACAAAGATGCCACAAGGTCTCTAATATTTTATTTGTAGTGAGGAAAATCAAGGGATGGGCAAAGTCATGAAATGAAGTATGTTGTCCCTTATGTTTCAGAGCTAGTTAACAAGGAAGTGACAGTAAATCTGGTGTCACCTTTGAACTTTGCCAGATAAAGGACAGTGTGTGCCTGTGCCCTCTGTGGCAGGGAGACAGAGGTGGGGAAGGAGGAGTGCGTGGGGTAGGAGAATGGCCATCAGGCAGAAGGTGAGTTCCTTTGATACTTAGTGTTTTGCTCTATAACTTATCAGCATGTTAGTGCACAATTACGCTTTTCTCTAAAATATTGGTGTAAGATCGAGCGCTTAGGATAAATGTCTTCAGGTAGCATCGATACTCAGGGTAGCCATGCCACGTGCATGTCCTGAGACTGAGGGTCAGTGGTCTACTGGAGGATGCCTTAGTCTGGAAGGCTTGGAAGAGAACAGGAACTGAAATCCAGAAGGAAAGAAAAGGGCTTTCAGGGAAGCAATCCGTGGGGATTTAAATTATCCAGAACTGGTGGTAGTTTACAGTGCAGTAGAGACTATGAGAGAGAGTTTTTATTTTTATGTTGATGATCAGGATGGGCCTCTCTCTACCAGGTGAAGCTGGTCAGATGTAACACAGCATACTTTTTCTTGTACTACCATCTACGGGGAGAGGGGAGCCCTGCTTTGGCTGTGAATAATTCTCGGTAATTGTCAGCAGGTGATTACATGACTAATATTTAGCCTTTTGAGTTACACAATTCCAATTCTTTCCTTCAATAGCACATTATAAATACATAATATAGACTATGTTATATATCACATATTTTATACAATGTTTAATTATGTTTTAATATATAACTTGTTATATGAACTATTTACTTATATGTCACATATTTGATACATAGATAATGTTTTCTCCCTGTGTTTTTCTTTTAGAAACCTTCTCAGAATATGTTTATTAAAACTCAAACTAGTACTCAGAATGGTGGAACTCAAGCAATGGAGGGAGTATGACTTCTTTATCCTTCTGTCTTGCCATTTTGATAATCCACTATCAGTGTGACTAATGAAGAATATTGCTTTTCTACCCCTAATTGAGAGCAAAATCTTCTTGGCTTTTGTCTTCTTCCTAATCAGCTGCTTGACAAATTTCATTTGGGCTAAAATGTATCATGTTCTACTTATGTCAATGAAATGCTCTTGTATTTTGAGAATGACTTAAAAAATGTGTCCAAGGGAGTTTTCCAATTGTATTGCTGTGAGTTGCCTATCAGCAAAGAGTCAGCAGCTCTACTTGATTTAGTGACTTCTGCATTTTGGATGAGGGCATTTATAAGTCATTTATACAGCTCATCAGTAAGTTATAGTTCCTTCTGTGCAACTAATCCTCACGGTTGGAACTTGATATGTAATCCGCTGCTCCAACCCACTATAAAGTAACTGCAACTCTATATTTACCTGTTCACCCATGTAACAGCAGTATGATTAAGGTCACACTTTCACAGCTTAGTGATAAGAATATTGTTTAGGCTAGAACCTAAAATTTTCCTCCATGCATAATTGATGTTATCCAGCATATTATTATTATTTATGTAGTCTGTCACTTAAACATGGAAGGAAATTAAACTGATACAGAAAAGTAGCTACTCAGAAAGTCAAATGCGTCAGCTTCTTTATCTCTTATGACATTCTGGTAAGTTGTTTATTGGTTGTATGATGGATTGTTCTCCTCAGGTATTGCTTTAAAGCTATCTGGCTTATAATGATCAAGTCATTTCCTTTAAAAATTTGGACATGGCGGATTCTTTCCTCCATTTCCACGAAAGCTCGGATATAAAGGATATGCAAAGTCAACTGCCAATTTCTTAATTGTATCTGGAAATCTGACATTGAGGCATGATAATGAGGGTGCCCTCAGGTATTTGATACCCTTCCCTGGCCTAGTTTAGAGCTCTGCAAGTCTCAGACCAAATCATGTCAGTCAGGTGTATATCTCCTACACTTACACAGTGAGCTTGTTGAACACAGGTCCAGTCCAGTTTCATTCTTTCTTTTATGATTTCTCTGAACCTAGTTTAGCGTCATGCATAAATACATATTGAGTTAAATTACATTTTTGAGAGAAATATTTATTTAAACATCTAATAAAAAGATAGGAAATTTCTTATAAATTATCTCATAGGAAAAGTGTTCTCAGCTACCTTCCAGTAATAATACCATACTGAAGTATGTAAACCTTCAAAGGCTTTGTGTATGTTGTATCTCCCAGAGCATTGTTATTTATATTTTACAAAATGACTCCCTAGGAACTGGGGCTCAGTCCACACACTCAGTGTAGCCTGGCTTGCTCAATTCATGATCCTGTATTAAGTAACTATGAATGTTCATAGAAGGTCAACAATAAACGTGAGTTTAAACATCAGCACTGGGGTTTTGCTTTACATGCCAGAAATTAATTTTTTTCACCAGAGCCACTAAAATCAGTAAGAGTTCTAAACTGTGCCTCCAGTACACATTTTTCTATTGTGTTTATAAGATTTAATATGCTATTAAGACTTATTTAGTGGCACAGACAATCTACTGAAACAGGATCTTTTCCCTTCATCCCATTACTGTCATCTGAGTCATTTCTGTTTTCTGTGGTGAAGCACATTTGTTGAAATTTGATGCAAACACCATAATAAGGGAAGAGATCTAGCGCCTTGATAGGAAATCAATTTAAAAAAAAATAGCATGTCAATGACTTATCCTGAGGGTTAGGAATTTCATGCCTCTGAATAAGATACTGAGCCAGTGATGATATGGTACTTGACATTGAAGACCCAAAAAACTCCACCAAAAGACTTCTAGACTTAATTGACACTTTCAGCAGAGTAGCTGGATACAAGGTCGACACTCAAAAATCAATAGCCTTCTTGTACACAAATAACAGGCTCACTGAGAGAAAAATTAGGGAAACAATTCCTTTCACAATAGCATCCCAAAAAATGAAGTATCTAGGAATCAATCTAACATAAGAAGCAAAAGACCCCTACACTGAAAACTACAGCACTCTGAAAAAAGAGATCGAGGAGGATATAAGAAAATGGAAAGATCTCCCCTGCTCCTGGGTAGGAAGAATCAACATAGTGAAAATGGCCATACTACCAAAACTGCTATACAGATTCAATACAATGCTGATTAAATTCCACCACTATATTTCACAGAACTAGAAAAAAAAAATAATCCAAGAATTCATTTGGAACCAGAAGAGACCTAGAATAGCAAAAGCTATCATAGGCAACAGAGACACGGCAGCAGGTATCACAATCCCCAATTTGAAACTATACTACAAAGCCACTGTGATAAAAACAGCATGGTGCTGGCAAAGAAACAGACCTGAAGATCAGTGAAACAGATTGGAAGATACAAAAACAATTCCAGATGTACTCAGCTACCTTATCTTTGACAAAGGAGCTGAGCATCCCCACTGGAGGCAAGATAGTCTCTTTAATAAATGGTGTTGGAAAAACTGGATTTCAACCTGCCAGAGATTAAAACCAGACCCTTATCTTTCACCATGCACTAAACTAAAATCCAAGTCGATTAAAGATCTAAATATTATAAAAGAAACACTAAACTTCCTGGAAGATAAGTTAGGCAGAAGTCTTGAAGACACTGGCATAGGAAAAGACTTTATGAACAAATCCTCAGTAGCACGGGAACTAGCAGAAAAAATAAAAAACTAGGATCTCATCTTATTAAAAAGCTTCTGTACAACAAAAGAAACCATCAACAGAACTAAAAGACAACCTACAATGTGGAAAAACTTTTTACCAGCTGCTCCTGAGACAAAGGACTCTTATCTAGAATATAAGGAACTCAAAACAATCAGATACTCCAAATACAAAGACCCGATTCAAAAATGAGCATCTGAAATGAACAGACATGTCTCAGACAAAGAAGTAAAAGCAGCAAGTAAATATATGAAAAAATGTTCTACATCACTGGTCATTTGAGAGATATAGACTGTGAACACACAGGGGTGATGGGCAGCCAGCTCAGAGAAGCCATAGCTATTCTAAGGACTTTGGCTTTACTTTGCCTAAGATGAGAAGCCATTGAAGTGAAAGGAAATCTAAACAGAGAAGTAACTAAATCTGACAAATTTTTAAAGAATCCCTCTGGGTATTATATGTGAAAAACTGGAGGATAATGAAAACCAGAGAGCCATTTAGAAGGATTTTAGAATGACACAGGTGAAAGATGATGGTGTATTAGATCATGGTGAAACTGGTGAAGGTAGTGAGAAGTGATGAGCTGTATGTTTTAAGGATAAAGCCATCAGTTGGAAACTGGATAAAGAAGAGATGTGGTTTTTCTATAAAATGGAATTCTACTCAGTCATTAAAGAATGAGAAATTAGATTCATTCATGGGAAAATGGATGCATATTGAGGATACACTCCTAAGTGAAATAAATAAGTAAGTCACTCATGTGTAAATACCAAATAGTTTCTCTGGTGTGAAAAACTATAACAGTACATAAAATCCTAATGAGGTAATTGACAATGCGAAATAGGAAGAAAAGGGCTAAAGGTGTAGGGAAAATGGGAAGAGTAGGGGAAAGGGAATAGGGAAAAGAAAAAATATGAGAAAATGAAAAAATGGAAATAAAGCATTTGTAAATGGGGAAGGGGGAGGGGGTGAAGTGATGGCAGGGGAAAAAAATGAGAACCAAGACCTGTTATGTAAAGATACAAGATCCCACTAATGAATGTAACTGTACTGTATACCTAAAATGTACCAATAAACTCATTAAAAAAAAAAGACTAAGCCAGGCACAGCTCACACCCAGTGCACGGCACACAGAATTGAAAGTAATTTTTCTGAACACTTGATGATATATCAATAATGTTGCTTCTTGTCATCCTTCTGTA